GGTGCCAACTTTGAGCTTTAAGCAGGGCACCAGGTGGGAGACAATGTGCAGGAACTGCAGGCACTGTCAGCCATCCAATCTACTATCGACTGAACTTGTTCTGGCCTCACCATTCGTAGAGCGGTATTCAGGCCTACCAAATAACGCTGAAGGTTCTATCGCGTACTCGCACGTGAGAAAGGTGTTTCACTTGTGCGTGTAGCTGCAACAGATCGACCACGTCCTCTCCTTGCAACAGGGATTCCACCAACACCAGAAGCACCAGGGCCACGTCCCTTATTTGACGCTCTCCTCATTCTTTGCGTTCACCCACCAAACTAACAGATGTTTTATGTCAGGCGACAATGTAACCGCCAACAGTCAACAATTTAAAAAAAATAAATTTTAGTTTATTGGACTGCAAGAAATGCACCGCAGGCCGCAAACGTACTATTTAGCACCCAAACAATTATAATTTTTGAAAGTGGGATGTAACCACACTATTAGACGCTTCGATTTGACTCTCAGATATGAAGAGCACGCCCCAAAATGTACTATTTAGCAGATTAGCAGCAAAACAATTAGAATGTTTACCACTGTGCTGTAAGCACACTATTAGACGCTTCTATTTGACTTCAGATATGAAGTGCACGCCCCAAAATGTACTATTTAGCAGTTTAGCACCAAAACAATAAGAATGTTTACAACTGCACTCTAAGCGCACTATTAGACGCTTCTATTTGACTCTCAGATATGAAGTGCACGCCCCAAAACGTACTGTTTGGCAGCAAATCAATTAGAATGTTTACAATTGCTCTGTAACCGCAGTATTTAACGCTTCTATTTGACTCTCAGATATGAAGAGCATGCCCAGAATGTACTATTTAGCAGATTAGCACCCAGAAAATAAGAATTTTTCCAACTGTGCTCTAAGCGCACTATTAGACACTTCTATTTGACTCTCAGATATGAAGTGCACGCCTCAAAATGTACTATTTAGCAGATTAGCACACAGAAAATTACAATTTTTCCAAGTGCGCAGTAAGCGCACTATTTGACGCTTCTATTTGACTCTCAGATATGAAGAGCAGGCCGTAAAATGTACTATTTAGCAGATTAGCACAAAGAAAATAAGAATTTTTACAAGTGCGCTATAAGCGCACTATTAGACGCTTCTATTTGACTCTCAGATTTGAAGAGCAGGCCCCAAAATCACCTGTTTATCTTTGCACGAGGCACTTTTTAAAACTTTTTAAACCTGCCCTAATATTGTTTTTTTTTTTTTTTTTACGTGTGAAACAATATCAAGACCTTAACTATATTTTATTAGGGTTAAGAAAACTATTGCGTGTATATTTCCATCGCTCCACTTTTTATTTTTAAGTTAAGAATTTGTAAATTGATTTAAAATTTTTGGGGATATTTGCTTATACAAGCCCATTAACTTTTGTTCTGGGCTGGCTAATGACACCCCAATGGTGCTGACGGAGGTGGAGTTACACCTCCAGCACCAAATTAGTTAAGCTTTGTGTGTGCAACATTTCTTAGTGAAACGGCGCACATACAGATTCTAGCCACCATGACCACTCCAAAAAACTGAAGTGATCATGGTGCCCAGAGTAACCACTGAATTGTGCATTCGGGGCATTGACACAACTTCACTACCAAGCACTTTTTGATTGAAAAACAAAATAGAAAGCATAACATATTTAAAGCAAATGTACAGTATCTCACAAAAGTGAGTACTCCCCTCACATTTTTGTCAATATTTTATAACTTTTCATGTGACAACACTGAAGAAAAGACACTCTGCTACAATGTAGTAAGTGTACAGCCTGTATAACAGTGTAAATTTGCTGTCCCCTCAAAATAACTCAACACACAAAATATTTACAAAAATGTGCGGGGTGTACTCACTTTTGTGGGATACTGTATAGCTGCAGTAGCATATAAACATAGATAAGAGCAATTATGTTTTTATATGGCTGTGCAGACAAATTTCAAATCATATAAATGTACACAAATTGTATTTTTCACTTATTGGTTTTGGACTTTTTTAGCTTTTTAAAAATATTTTTGGGTAATTAAAAGCTTCTGGCAATATACGGGATCCTTTATCTTGCAAGATTTCACACTGGGACAGAAAATATTGTAGAAATGTATAAAAGCAAAAATGTATTTGTTCTTACTTACAGTAGGTGCGACAAAAACAGATAAATGAAAAAAGGTCAAATACCTTGCTTTTAACTATCTGTAAAGACCATGAAGGCATTACTAGCAGTATAGCTTACTAAAAATGGTAACAGAATGTAAAAAGAATGTCTGCATTTTAGCACACAGAAACACTCTGGCCACCCTTCTTCTATTTGCAGGGTTTATTTGTTTGTCTTTCTGTTCTGTTGTCACAGCTTGGCGGATATCCTGGCCAGCATAAAAGGAGAAGGTGACGTTTGTTGTCCATTCCAGCCGTTTGGGAAGTTGGAGATTGCTGAAAGCAGATGGCAAAAGGCAGGCGGCACCAGGGACGTTTTAGCCGCGAGACAAACAAGGCATTTGCATTGGGCGGCATTTTCCAGGGGGCGGCAAAAAAGGCCGCCCCCAAATGCCCAGGGCAAATGTCTGCAGCCACTGCACCCCCAGAGAGAGCGGGAACCCCCCCCCCCAGCATTCCCAAAGGTAAGAAGGCTGGGGGGGGGGGTTAAATAAAAAATAAAAAAATGTGTTAATGTGAGTGTGTGTGTATGTCTGTTAGTGTGTGTCTGCTAGTGTGTGTGTGTGTGTCTGTCAGTGAGTGAGTGTGTGTCTGTTAGTGAGTGTGTCTGTTAGTGTGTGTGTGTATCTGTTAGTGTGTATGAGTGTGTCTGTTAGTGAGTGTGTGTGTGTGTGTGTGTGTGTCTGTTAGTGTGTGTGTGTGTGTCTGTTAGTAGGTGTCTGTTAGTGTGTGTGAGTGTGTCTGTTAGTGTGTGTGTGTGTTTGCCTGTGAGTGTGTGTGTCAGTGAGTGTGTGTGTGTCTGTTAGTGTGTGTGTGTGTTTCTGTTAGCAAGTGTATGCGTATCTGTCAGTGAATGTGTGTGTGTGTATTTAGAAGATGGGGCGGGGGAAAGGGTTGGGTGGGAGTGGCGGGGGGAAGGGGGGTGCCTGAGTTTTGTCCTGCCTAGGGCAGCACAAAACCAGGATATACCACTGGGCGGCACAGGATTCATGGTTTTCAAGTTGGGTTATCTGTCTGTTTGGTAATTCCCCAATCGGCTGACCATTGGTAATGTTTTGCTGGCCTGTGAGTGTTTTCATATTCTTTTTCTTTTTCCATTCAGGAGTTATGGTATACGAACACTCTGCATTCGACTCCTGTAGAATATAACATATTCTATATGTTCCTATTCAAATACATATTAAGGTATGTATGTCTAATGGATTAAAAAGAACAGATGGCGTTTGTACTATGAGGACTCTTGAATGTGCTGTATAGAGAGTTCGGGGGCAAGGTTCCTTATACGGGGAGTTTCCTCATATGGCCAGAGTCTAAATTAAGTTATGACGTAATTTCGCCTATAAAAAACTGAGGACAAAGGACCACGTTCTCTTTCTCCTCCGCTCCGCTCTACTCTCCTGGTGTATCCCTGACTTTCTGATACAAAGACTACTTAAACAGATTTCTCAACCTATGTAACATTGTGAAGAAATACCATCTGTTAAGGATATTATTGTTTGCTATTGAAGTAGAATAAATAACTGAGTATTATTATGCATTTTTAACAGTACAGAAAGTAAAGCAAGAAGTTAGTGCACATACCCTGTTTTCCCGAAAATACACCCTACCCCGAAAATAAGCCCTAGCTGGATTATCGGGGTGGGCTGCAATATAAGCCCTACCCTGAAAATAAGACCTAGGCAGGGCCGGCGGCTGACGGCCCTTTAAATGCCACAGCCGACTGAGCCGCACTGCCTCACCTCCCCTTCCCTGTAGCGTGGCCGAGCTCCTCTCCGGTCCGCAACCCGGCCGGACTGACAGGAAGTGCACACTGGGTGTGCACTTCCTGTCAGTGCGGCCGGGTCGCAGACCGGAGAGGAGCTCGGCCACGCTACAGGGAAGAGCAGGTGAGGAGAAGATTGGAGGGGGGAAGTATTACAGGGAGGGGGGGAGAATATTACAGGGAGGGAGGAATATTACAGGAAGGAGGGAGGAAGTAATACAGGAGGGAGAATATTACAGGGGAGGGAGGGAAAGAGTATTACAGGGAGGGAGAATATTACAGGAGGAGGGAGAAGATACAGGAGGAGGAGGAAGGGGGGAAATATTACAGGGAGGGAGGGTAGTATTACAAGGAGGGGGAGGGGAGAGTATTACAGGGAGGGGTGAGAGTATTACAGGGAGGGAGGAGGGGAGAATATTACAGGAGGAGGGAAAGTAACAGGGAGGAGGGGAGTATTACAGGGAGGGAGGGAGGGGGGAGAATATTACAGGGAGGGAGGGGGGAAAGTATTACAGGGAGGGAGGGGGATAATATTACAGGGAGGGAGGAGGGAGAGTATTACAAGGAGGGAGGTGAGGGTCTCGGGCGGGTTACACAGCGCGGACACCGGCTGACAGACTGGCTCTAAGCCCTACCCTGAAAATAAGCCCTAGTTGTTTTTTTGTGACTAAAATTAATATAAGACCCGGTCTTATTTTCGGAGAAACACGGTACATCACAGGGTGTGTAAAACATAGAGATAGCTAAATCACTGCTGGAACTCCTGCGAATAACAGCCTCTATTTTACGAGTTTCAACTGAGAATTATTATGCATTTTTAAAACAGGTAGTTACAGCTTGGTTACAGTTAGTAAGGGCAATTGTGCCGGGGGTTGCATGTATGGTGGGTATTCTGCCCCTGAGATTAAGAGAACATTTCACTGAGTACGGCATGACTTAATTTTTGCTATTTCTACAGAGTCTGACATTAGGTTAGCGAAAACAAGCTAGGCCCCTGTCAGAGTACTGTACAGGTTAGTGTAGCTGGTTATGCTGGTGTGCCCAGCCCTTAGGTATCGGAGGGTTAACTGTCCAGGGGACCAGGTAGATTATAGGGTAGGTAGGTCTAACATGTCAACCAATCACATATGCCATGTGTAAATACGCTATGGCTCAACTGCCCACGTGTTGCTCTGTTGAGAATGCCACTGGGTGTGTAAGCAAGTTCGCTAAGCCCAGTTGGTCCACAGCCCACATTCTAGGTTGCAATATAACAGTAGTAGTTAGGGTAATCTGTGTTAAGACAATTATTCATCTTTTAAGACGAAGGTGTGTATATGTATCAATATATAGCGATGCCCTAAGACCCTCTAGGAGTGTCAGTGTGACATTTCAATTACTTGCCATAAACCAGGGTAATGAGCATTGCAATAGTCCGCAAGAGTGTTCAGCTTACCCCACAGGGTGTGATGGTGCTATAATATATGGGAGCTAGTCCATCGGGTTGTGGGGGGGAAACCTCCCCGATCCCACATATGTTTTGGGGTCTGCCCTGCTTCTTTTGCATGTCTGCTCTGACCATCCGGTCGGCTGACCCTCTGTGCTGCGATTCTTCCCTTGCACCTCCTGGGTTACCGTCGCTTGAGTGCCGTGTATCTTCGGCCCGGGGCCTTAGCGGGAGCCCTTACCACATGTCCATTGACCCCATCATCAGGGTCGTGGGCCCAAGGTTCCACCGGGTCTCAGCAGCCTCCCTGGGTGTATGGGTGGTGTTGGAGAGTTACCTCCATGTGAGCCCCCAGCTCGGAAGAAGATTGTGCAGTCACAGGAATGACGTTGTCCCCTTGAGTAGTGGGAGATGTTGGATGGCTGGTATGTATGGGGTCTTCCGTCGTGGGCTTTATGTCCTGGGTTGCAGGTGGCTGTGCTTGTAATGCTCGGGATTCAATCCGCTGCCAGAATTCCATGCAGATTCTATCAAAGTCAGCAAGAAACTTGGCTTCCCAGTTCGTCTCAGGCGGTTTCCCTGATGCGTCGGCCATTTTGATTGTGGCTCGTGATTTCGGTGCGGCTACACAGAGCTCCCTGATGGTGCACTGAGCCTGTGGTTGCTGTTGCCCAAGTGGATAACCCCCACCGGTCCATGGGGGGAGTGTGGTTTGCTCGCTTATGGTTAGCAGCAGAATGGGGAAAGCGGCCGTCCCTCCCCTCCGTTGCCTCCTCTAGGCCTTGAAATGCAGCAGCTGTTCCCGGTTGTTACGGGCATCGATTTTGGTATCCACGGGTACCTACAGGCTTCCCCCATCCATGTAGTTGCATTATGTGGGATTTCCAGCACTGTAGCTCGAGTAGTCGTCGAGTGTGTGGCCCATACAGCAGGAGCTCATGTGAGGCACAACTTGTCAGCTTGCTGGCTTGGCTCCGCCCCCATAAATGCATATTTTTTATAAAGAACAACAGATTGCGTATTAGTACATTTTGGTTAATATAGATGTATATTAACCTGGCGGGCCTTTAACCAAAGAAGATTGTAGCGGAACGCCAATAATAAATCCACGAATTCCGCTGGTTCAGAAACGAATCCACAGTCAAGCGCTGAAACAACAAGGCAATATCCCCAACCTCCCAGTAACCGGACGAGACACAGTTCTGAGAGTCAACTGAAATCCTTTTAATCGGCTGGACAATTTATACAAGTCCCCATGCAAGGGGTTTCCTGAGTCCCTTCCCAGGGGCACTCCCAGAGGGGACTACATGGGGGACTTACATTACAACATATTTATCCCATCAGGCACCGCTGCACGAGAGGGATCATCTTCCCAGAATGCACCGTTAAGTGGATTATCCCCTCGTGCAGCAGAACCAACAATTTACACAAAAATCCATAACTTGTTGAATATATGGTGGATTTACACGAATGGACGTTCGGTAGATAGCTGGGGTCTGAGCGCATCATTCGTGAGATTACCGCTCAGATCCCAGCTAAAATAACCGAACGCCGCACGAAAGACAGATTTCTGATAAAACATATAAAAAGAACCGATTGCTTGCAGGGAACAAAATACCGAATGTCCCGAAACTCCCGAACGTCCTGGAGGCTCAGCGGTGTTCGTGCCGTCGAGTAGCCATTTTTAGTACCATGCGTTCGACGACCTAGCTCCGCTGAGGGAACAAAGGATCCAAGATGGCCGACCGCCGCATGGTCGGTAGTCGAACGACGGCTACCCAGGAGAGCCTCTAATAACCGATTGCAACATTGTTGCAATCGGTTAACTAGCGCCACACGCCTCTAAGTGTGTGGGCTATTAGGGGGTATTGCGTTCGGTTCACGAACGGCCCTCCAAAGTGCCGTTCGTGAAACGAAAGAAAACCCCCATACAAAACCGCCATTTGCATTTGGCAAAAGGCAATGCAGAACATACATAAAGCATACACATATAGAATGAAGCACATATCTCTCTAGACATACAGGCAACCCTTAAAGGCACAGTCTCTTTGTATTGTCCAAGTGGCTAGGTTTGCCACAAAGATATATAAAAGACTTATTGAGAAACTGAGAAAACACATACTAAATATTACAACTCCCGAACAAGGACCACCTGGTACCCTATTAGAACGTTCCCACCAGTAACTTAAGTGCCATTCTATTTCCCGACCAACTATGCGAACGACGTTCGGGAGATGGGAACTACCAAATAGGGGGAGCATTTGTATACCCTATTGAATCCCTTGCATGGTGTTCACACAGGAACCCCCCGAACAGAGACCGGCCAGGGCACCTATTCTTCTGGAACTGTTTTGGGCTATCTCCTCGTGTCCGGCAGGTCAAAACATTACCCTGGTGGCAATCCAATTCCACCAAACTGATCTGAGTGATATATGGGTATATTATACACTCAGATCAGGGCTATCAGAGGATATAACTTTTGTGGGGTTCCTAGTTATGGTGGGGATACTTTTGGGCTACTGTATATTTCATGTAAGTTTTTCTGTACCTGAGAGATAATTGAATTATAGTTTTTCTCATGCAATTATCTCTCGGCACAGAGGACCCTGGGAAGGAAAATCCTGTATTATTGTGTTGGACACCCCATGTAGGGGTCTGTGCATAAAAGCCGTGTGTTAAGACACCTCTAGTGTCTTTAAGCCAAACCGCCGTTTAGTCGACCTTCCCCGGCTGCAGTACAGTCTCCGTTCGCTTACTCTGTAACACACGAACCGAAATGCAGGGGAAGCGGCACTCTCCCGATCGAGATCCGTGAACGGCTCCAAACTCCCGAACGGCAATACACGAACTGCTGGTAACCGTCGAACAGCAATATTCCCCAAGCGGCTTTCGTTCCATCCAGCAGTCTCTAAACGTGAAGAAGAAATCCCCCCCAATAACGAGACAGAAGCTCCTCATTGAGGGTCAAACAGAATCTGGCTTTACTGTGGGCTACCTGCCCGTATTTATGCAGGTCTCCCACTTGGTGGACACTCCCCTAGGGGACCAAATGGGAGACTTAAATTACAGACAGATCTGGGGACATCCCAGACACACAGTCACAGCTTTTACCCACAGTGCATTATGATTCCCTCCCCTCTGCCCTGGAGTTAATTACCAAGTAACTCAATTAACTCCAGGACAAAGCCAGTCGCCATCTTAGACATAAAATAATAAAAGACATAAAAATATATAACTACATGAAAACTGAACATTTCCCATTCATATTACATGTCCCCAGATAGCCTGGATCTGAGTGCATATTATTAGCGAATAGCGCTCAGATCCCACACACATAGTTCAATCGCCATGGAGTCAAAGTTCTTACAGTCTTTCGGTATACGAATGACTCCATGGGAAGGCTATCTGGGTTAAGTCTTTTGTATGCTCTCAATCTCCCGAACGGCCGGTGTTCGCATGCTTTCGTGGAGGCAGCCAGGCGTTCCCTTGTTTCAGCGGTGTTCGGCAGAAAAAGTGTCCGTTTTCAGTTCCATAGAAATAGAGCCAAACACCGCTGGGCGTTCGCGTGATTTAAAATGGCCGCTGCCTCGTGGTCGACATACGAACGACGACCACCCTGAATTCGGTTTAATTGAGAAGTGTCTGCGGTTAACCACAACGTTCTAATTGGGATCACTTCGTTAACCAGCAGCACACTCCTCACTTGGGTGGCCGTTCGTTCGGCAGGTTTGTTCGGGAAAAAGAGTCATTCGAATGGCTGGGCTATAGAAACCAGCCATTCATACGAACGGGGGACAAACAGACGAACGTAGTAAAAATCCAAGCAGACAGATGGTTCTGTCACACCGTGCGTGGCCTGAAATAAATTAGTTGACTCCCAGAACAATGTTTTGTCTGGTTACTGGGAGAATGGATGTCTGCATGTTTTAATGGTTCCAGTCTGGCTGAGAGAAGGAATTAGCAGATGTAACCAGCCAGGTTGGTTCGCTACAACTCTCTAGAATAATAATGTAATGCTGACAGTGAAATGGTAGTGTCTATTCACTCTCTAGAATAATAATGTAATGCTGACAGTGAATTGGTAGTGTCTATTCACATCCACAGAGGTCCCGCTCGTCGCCTGGAAGTCTGTGTCGACCAATAGGAGAAGAAGCTCCCATTCAAACTGGGTTCGCGCCATACTCCTGATGGGTCGCCATGAGTGAGTGCTGATTGGTCGCTAAAGGGTGCAGGCGACCAATCAGAGAAGAAGTGCCCATTCAAATGGGGTTTTGCTCCCTTTCTCCTAATTGAGTGGCTAAACCCCTCTCCACCTTAAACGCTGATTGGTTTTGCGCCTTTCAGCTGATTGGCTGTTGCTTGGTTTGGGCACAAAGTTTGTATTCACCGGACCAAACCAAGCGACGCTTTGGAACTAATTTTGGGGATGTTCAGAGACTCGAGCCCCAGACTTTATACAATGGTTTCTCAGGCTCTGTACATCTGATTGCCCCGCTATTTGCAGGGATCCTAGCTGGGACCCAGGGCTATCCATGGATGTATGTTTCATGTGTGTACCTCATTCCCTTGCTGGGGCACGGAGCCCGTAAGTGTTCTCCCATATACGTAATGTGTTTTACTATTTGCAATATGTGTTAATGTATGGAACTGTGTCCTGTTGAAACCGGCGTTTGTAAAGGGAACAAGCATGGCCCCCAGCTACAGTGAGGATGCCGTTCACAAAGAAGTGATCCGGCGCCTGGCATACTACAAAGAAACCCCCTACGAAGAATACATAACAAGGATCTTTACCAAGATCCAAGTCTGTGTCCTGACTCAGAGAGATTGGGCGAAAAACTCACCACCACATGAATGGCAGGCAAGGGAAGCATCCCCAGTGGATCCTCCAGCTACTGAACAAAAGCCCAAATTGCCCTACCCAGCCTCTAAGATTCCTAATGTACTCAAGGAGAAGTTCCAGCGGAGGCTGCAAGAAGCTCTATCCCAGGATCATGGCCCTGCCTCAGAAGAGAGTGACCTGAACTGGAGGGAGGCCATTCGAAACGATCTCTGGAAGGAGGACCTCGACAAAATTTTGACCCTTCAGTATCGGAGAACTACCAGACTCCAACCAGAGCCCATAGGAAAAACTAGAGCTGCGGATGCCATCCCTGGGAGACCAGCCATTGGAGGAATGGATAATAGAACTGGAGACGCTTGTCATGACCGAAGTTTCGTACCGGGACAATGCTAACTAATCGTACCGGGACAATGCTAACTACCCGTGGGTGGTCCAGCTCCAACGCATCGGGGGGAGGGAGGGAGGACTACGATGGCCCTGGTCTTTTGTGGCATAGTTTTGACTATCCTCTGTATTATGGAAACCGGAAACCCAGACCCTTTCCGCTTCTGGGACATCTGAGAGGAATGGAAAGACTACTTGAACCTGGCAGGAATAGCAGAACTGCAGCCTGATCTGACCTATGTGGCTAACTTGGAGTGGGAGCTGGAACAGGACTACAGGCAACTATTCGAAGCTGCATAGCAGCAGGTTCCAGAGACTGAAGACTTAATGGACTGGGCAACCCTGGGAGAGGAGTGTCCCGTTCTTCCTCCCCAGTGGCAGTGTGAAGTCCAGGGAACGGAGACAACCAGTCTCGTTCCCCAGCAGCAGTGTGAAGTCCAGGGAATAGAGACAACCAATCTTGTTCCCCAGGGGCAGTGTAAGTTATTGGGAGTGGAGACAATTGGTCTCAATCCCCAGCAGCAGAGTACAGTCCTGGGGGAAAAGCATTCTACCCTTCCTCCCCAGTGGCAGTGTAAAGTCCAGGGAGTGGAGACAACCTGTCTCGTTCCCCAGCAGCAGTGTGAGGTCCTGGGAGAGAAGGGTTCTGTCCTTGCTCCCCAACAGCAGTGTGAGTTCCTGGGAGTGGAGACAACCGGTCTCACTCCCCAGTGGCAGTGTAAGGTCCTGGCAAGGGGGACAACCGGTCTTGTTCCCCAGCAGCAGTGTGAGTTATCAGGAGAGGTAACCACTGGTACTGCGGGTGTTGTGAATGAGACGTCGGTCGCCACAGGCACCCTGCAGGTGGTTTCTCAGGCTTCTCTGACTCTTCCGGGGGCTGACCCCAGTAACCTGCAATGGTCTGGTCAGCAGGGAGCGGGCAAGACAACGGCCGCCGCTACCCCTTCCCTTAAGGATGCAGCTTCATCTGAGCAAAGCACAGCCAGCCTCTGCTCTTCCCTTCCCCAGGAGCGAGTTGATGTGGAGGCGTGGGCCCCCAGGCAGAGGGCAGGATGCCTCTGCCCACCACTGGTGCAGAAGTGGGGCCTGGGCAGCTGTGTGGGGCCCAAGAAACAAAAAAGGTTGGAGGCGCAGGCAGAGTGCAGGCAGCCTCTGCCCACCCTTGGTGTCTAGGCAGGGTCCTGTCAGCCATGCAGGGCCCCAGAAGTGAGTAGAAGCCAAGGCACGGGAATCAATGGTCATGGGAATTATGGGAATCAATGGTCACTCCCCAGCAGCTGAATGCGATCCAAGGGGAGAGCCCAGCCAGCAATCCTCCACAGAGGGCAGCCACGACCCCCGGGAAACAGAGCCACAACAGATCCAGCGGACAAATCCCATCATCCTCAGAGAAACCAAGGAGATCCAGGTGATGAGCAGGCGGGGCGGGGGGGGGGGGGCAAGGCAGAGCACTAAGGGACCAGGGGGGGGGGGGAGAGCACTGAGGGACAAGAGGGGAGGAAAGATCACCAAGGGATAGGAGGGTAAAGCACTAAGGGATAAGAGGGGAGAGCACTAAGGGACAGAAAGACACACAGAGTCACTTGTGAGAGAGTCACTTGTGAGAGAGACACTTTTCCACCCAGGAGCCTGGGGGGAAAAGAGACACACAAAGGAGCTGGGAAGAGTAAGGCATGTAAAGGGGTTGGGATGATGTAGGAGACATACAAAGGGTGGGGGTAAGAGACACACAAGGAGCTTGTAAGAGATAAACTAAAGGGGGTGTAAGACACAAAACAAAGAAAAAATACAAAAAAGGGTCTATTAACATAATAAATGTAAAAATAAAAATAAAGAGCTGCTCCCCTCTCAGCCCCTATCCTACCCCACAAACCCTATTTCACACTACACACATACAAAATGCATCCTTACACATACACAGAAACACACAATGCATCCCTACACACACACACATATGCACAGAAATATACATTGCATCCCTACTCACATAGAAACACATAATGCTTCGCTTACACACACAGAAACACACAATGCATACACACATACCTTACACACACACACACACTGCATCCCTTACATACAAAAACACACAATGAATCCCTTACGCACACACACACACTGCCCCATACAGTCACATACATGCATTACATTACATACATACACAGAAACATACCCCTTGCTTCTCACACATACAAACACAGAAACACACAATGCATTAATTACACAAAAATACACATTGCATCCCCTATACACACACACTACATCCCTTACACAAATTGTTATCTCTGTACACTACATTCCATAAGAACACACACACAATACAGCCTCTACAATAACACACAACACATCCCCTACACACATACACTTCACTCCCTGTGAGCGAACTCATGGGTCGGCCTTGTAGGTGGACTTATGGGTGGGCCTTGTAGGCATACTCACGTTCAGGCCCTGGGGGCCCAGACATTGAGCTGTGTAAGGGGCCCCAAAAAATTGAGCTGCTTCCTGTTCGTTGATATTTGTGAGCACTGTTACAAACTGTAATAACTGGCTGTGTGTTTATTTAGTTGAATAATTCTTTTATTTATTTATATATATATATATATATATATATATATATATATATATTTCTTCTTGGGCCAAAAAATGCTCGCCATATTAATGAAAAGTACTAATATGCAATCTGACGTTCTTTATAAAAAAATATGCATTTATTCTACTTCAATAGCAAACAATCATACTTAAAAGGTGGTATTTCTTAACGACGTTACAGAGAGTCGTCTTTGTATCAGCAACTCAGGACATCAGAGAGGAGAGCAAAACTGATCGTAGAAGGAAGAGAGCATGGAACTTTGTCCTCTGCCCTTTATAGCCCAAATTACGTCATAACGTTTAGTTTAGACTCTGGCCATATAAGGAAATTCCCCATATAAAGACCACCCCAAATCTCTTATACAGCAAATTCCAGAGTCCTCATGGTACAGAATAGCAAACGCCATCTGTTCTTGTTTAACCCATTAGACAGCCACACCTTAATATGTATTTGAATAGGAACATATAGAATATGCAATATTCTACACAAAGAGCCAATTCTACACTAGACCAGTGGAGTCCATCATCACCCTCTTGTCCTTATCTGGTGGTAAGTAGTCTCACTAATCTCTCATTTACATTAAAGGGACACTGTAGTCACCAGAACCACTACAGCTTGAGGTAGTGGTTTTGGGGTCTATAGCCTGTCCCTGCAGGCTTTTTAATGTAAACACTCTGCCTTTTCAGAGAAAAGACACTGTCTGCCTACATGGCAGATCATATAGGTTGGGCATTGTGATGTCACATGGTGGACTGAGCATATGGGGGGGAGCAAATTTATATTTGCCTAGGGCGGCAAAAATCATTGCACCAGCCCTGCACATAGGCTCCGATTCACACTCATGATCTCAGCGACTCCTGTAGTTCCGCCACAGCCCATGTTTCTACATTCCCCTCATAGTGTCACCTTGCAATATGTGCCATATTGCCCCATATATGTTACTGCAAATGTAGTCGCTTACATGCCACATTTCTACTCAAATAATCCCCGCATATAGTCTCATATATTGCCACGTTACTCTGGCGTTGTCAGTATTGCTGCACACTGCTGCCATGTTCCAGTTCAGCTACAATGACCTTAAATTTTAAATTCCTTTGAATTTCTAATTTTAGTGAATTTTCTGTATTTACGTTGCATTCAAGTGGTGATAAGATAGGTCATTGTAGTACTTAACATCACCCACTAGGTGATGCTGTTGCCTTGTGTTGCAATTTCACATTTAGAATCTGGTCTTTACAAAATGTATTTGTGGGACAAAGAGGTAAAGTGTGGCCATCGGCAGGAACATTCCATTGGTTTCCACGGTGACTGTTCTACATTAAGAACTTTGTCAAGAATGATTCTTAATACATAGACACATTGTGATCATGTCAATGGCATTCGTGCAGCCATCTATGAAATAAAAAAATCTGTCCTGTTCTTTATCAGTTCTTATTTTATATATCATGTCTTTAACATGAATTCAGAAACACTTTTAGAATTATTTGCTAAACTGTGCAGTGCTGGGAATTCAAAGTGAATTTATTCTAACGAAGTTGGTTTAGACGTTAAAGTTCTCTCTGGTTTAGCGTCTCATTAGTTTAGAGTAACCTTTAGTTACTGCTGGGTAAATCATGGTGGATCATTGCTATTATCACATCCTATCTGTTTTTGTTAATCTCCTGCCTGATCGTCCATCTGTCTCCTTTTCTTATGTTAAGTTGCCCACAACGAACTTAGATGTGTGGGTTCTTAGAACGGGGGCAGAGGGTGTGTTGTGTGAAGTTTTTGAAACACCAATAAAGTAACCGGCTACCTCAGGGAATCAGTCATCATAAAATGATATTTACTGATCACCTACTACCTGGAGAGCTACATTTCCTGGCTTATTCTAGTAAGGGCAAATCAATTGTCTTCTTTCTTTAACTTTTCTTTAACGTTTTTGTTGTTGATCCAAAATAAAGCAAAAAAACCCAGTTTGAAGCACTTCCAATTTTGCAACAAACAGGGGGGGGGGGGGATCCTTCTTGACCCCAGAATGGCAGTGCAATATCTCCGTGTATCAAGAAGCTATTGCATGTATGCATCCAGTTGCTATTTAAACATCTATATGGACTCTGATAAAACCACCTCTTCTGGCAGAGAATTCCACATCCTTATTGTTTTTACTGTAAAAAAAAAACAAAACTTTTTTTTTGCCTTAGACTAAATCTCATTTCTTCCAGTCAAAACACGTCACGTTGTGTCCTATGTATAGTTCTGTGTACAACAGATTTCTAAAGAATGGTTTTTGTTGGCCTCGAATATACTTATATAATGCTATCATAACGCCTCTGAGGTGCTGTTTTTCTAAACTAAAGAGGTTTAAATTTGTTAACCGTTCTTCATAGCTGATATGTTCCATTCCTTTTAT